CAGATGAGAAGACTGAGAGGAGACATGATGGCCAGGTATAAATATGTGAGGCGAAGTCATAGGGAGGAGGGAGCAGGCTTGTTTTCTGCTGCCCTGGAGACTAGGACACGGAACAAAGGCTTCAAATTACAGGAAAGGAGATTCCACCTGAACATGAGGAAGAACTTCCTGACTGTGAGAGCTGTTCAGTAGTGGAACTCTCTGCCCCAGAGTGTGGTGAAGGCTCCTTCTTTGGAGGCTTTTAAACAGAGGCTGCATGGCCATCTGTCAGAAGCGCTTTGAATGAGATTCCTGCTCCTTGGTAGGGGGCTGGACTGGATGGCCCACGAGGTCTCTTCCAACTCAGTGATTCTATGATTCTATGACTCTAAGTGAGAGAAATCTACTCCTTGGAAGTGAAATTAACTGCTGGGGAGAGAAGGGGTCTCCACTGAAGCTTTATCTGCAATCCTTGTTTCCAAAAGAAGCTACATTTTTCAAAATCCAATGATCATAGGGACAGAAAGTGAGGTGAAATCTTCTGAATGGGGGAACAGGCAGCAAAACCAACACCAAAGGAGTGGTAACTCTTCCCAATAGTATCCAAAGCTAAAAGATATATATTTTTGACAGTAGTTACACTGAAAAAATGGACCAGTTTCAACTTACATACAAATTCAACTTAAGAACAAATTCAACTACAGAACTTATCTTTTTCATAACTTGGAGATTGCCTGTATATAAAAGTGGTAAGATGTTTGGAAGTATGTATGTTTCTACTTGGATAGCTGCCACATTCAGAGAGCAAGCACTGTGAACTCCACTGGCAATGAATCTGGACCAAATGTGGCACACAGATCCCCCATGACTAACAGAAAATACTGGAGGGGTTGGGAGGGATGACCCCGGATTTTGGGAGTTAGAGTTCACTCTGCACCCAGAGAACCCTGTGACTCCTGCCAACAACGGATCTTGACCAAACTTGGGACAGATACTGAACATGACCAACTTTAAGTACAGGCGGGGTTTGAAGGGAATTGACCTTGGATGCAGGATGTTATAGTTCACCCACATCCAGAGAGCACTGTGAACCCAACAGACTATGAATCTGGACCAAACTTGGCACACATACCCCACATGACCAAGTTTTAATACTGGCAAGGTTTTCAGGGAACTCACACTGTTGGGAGTTGCAGTACACCAACATGTTTATGCATTTTCTAATGGGAGCATTCATGAAAAAAAGAAAAGAAAATTAAACAATGAGTGCTTCTTATGAATAGCCCAACAAAAGACCTAACCCAGGCACTGCCAGTGCCTAATCCATGTAGTTACTAGTTAGCCATAAAAGAGGTAGGAGTAGGGAGGGCTGAACCCAAGTTCAGTATTCCAGTCACTAAAAATGGATACAAACTCACCAACAAAGAAATACACATTTAAGCTCCCAACATGAGACTCCTATTACACTTCTACAGCATTTCAAGCTCTCAAACTAGGCTTCTATAACAATTCAAGAGCAACAATCCGTTACAATAATCTACAGGCCTGTAGCGAGGGGGTGGTTTTAGGGGTTCAACCCCCCCCCCCCGAAATGTTTCAGATTTTTTTTTAAAAACCTGGTTTACTCATGAATTTTAACTGGTTAACCAAATCCCCATGCTAAGTCTATGAGATGCAAAAAATTAAGAGTCCCTCCAGAACTGCAAGCACTATCTCAAGCAAATATTGACAATTTATTCACACTGTCATTACTTGCAGCAATAGGCGATGTAGTGAAGCAACCAAGTTGGGTGTGTGTGTGTTGAATGCTCTCATTAAGGAGGCCAGACTTGGTGGAGGTGGTTGACAGGGGCGGAGCTGCAGGCTATTGAAGGCTGCTCTGCTCCCTGCTGTGCTCTTTGCTTCAGCGTGAGCTAGGAGGCAGGTTTCAACCCCCCCCCCAAACCCCCCCCCCCGCAAAATTTTCAACCCCCCCTGCAAAATTTTCAACCCCTCCCGAAATTTTTTTCTGGCTACAGCCCTGATAATCTACCCTCCCAATCAATGCAATACCTTTGCACCCAAAACTGGGTGTGTGTCGTAACGGAAGGAAACAGAAAGCTTAACATGTATTCCCCTTTGGGAAATAGATGCAGGAAACAAAAGGTTTACTTGAGTGGCATGTTAACAATCAAAGAGATAGGATCATGGAGGGCTAAACTCCAGTTCGGTTCTGCAGTCCTTAAAATTAGACCTTGGGGAAATCACACACTCTCAGCCTCAGAAAATCAAAGATTACTCTCAGGGCTGGAAATAACTAGAAAGCATGCAACAGATGACGCTCATGATGATGACAATGATACTTTTCTTAGGCATATTCTATTGAAGGTAACCACTCTAGAAAGCATTGCCCAATTTAGAGCCAAAGAGCCAAAGAACATTAAACCTTATTTATTGATTTGATTTGCCCTTATCCACCAACAGCAGAATCAGTGTTTTTGGGCTGAACAGGCACATAAATCACAGAAATACATCCACACTGTAGAATTTGTGCAGCTTGACACCACTTTAATTGCCATGGCTCAATGCTATGGAAACATGGGAATTGTAGTTTTACAAGGTCTTTCATCTTCTTTGCCAGAATGTGCTGGAGTCTCGTTAAAGTACAACTCCCAGGATTCGATAGCACTGAGCCATGGCAGTTAACATGGTATCAAACTGCAGTGTAATTGTACTCCCTGGTTAAAGCTTTCTCCAGCATAAGCCCCATCTATCCTGACAATTTAATGCTGTTTCAATCAGAAAGGGATTTTGTTATGCAGGTGATTACACAGAAAATTCTAGAACCAATTTGAAGCCTGGAGTACACAAACCGAGCACTGGTGGACATTGCGGACTTTTTTCGCACACTTTTGTGGGGGTTTGTTGTCTAGTTTGAAACTACATTAAATGGTTAGTATAGATGAGGTCATGGTGACATGTGTTGTACATGCTTACTATATATTCAGTAATTTAACAAAAACTATTTACAATCTGTGGTGTGTTGTGGATAATGAATTGTTGTGGATAATGGGAATTACTTTGTGGCACAGTGGGTTAAACCACTGAGCTGTTGAACTTGCTGACTGAATGGTTGGCGGTTTGTATCTGGGGAGCGGGGTGAGCTCCTGCTGTCAGGCCCAGCTTCTGCCAACCTATGAGTTTGAAAACATGCAAATGTGAGAAGATCAATAGGTACCGCTTCTGTAGGAAGGTAACAGTGCTCCATGCAGTCATGCTGGCCACATTACCTTGGAGGTGTCTATGGACAACGCTGACTCAGCTTAGAAATAGAGATGAGCACCAACCCCCAGAGTCAGACATGACTAGACATTAATTTCCAGGGGAAACCTTTACCTTTACTTTAGTAATGATCAAGATTAGAAAATTTATCAGTGTTGTCACCTACAATTCTTTATTTAAAGATCATTCAGAACTAATCCAGAATAAACCTAGCCATTAAATACACTATACCATCACAAATACAGACTGGAATCACAACATCACATAGCTGATTCACAGTTAATCAGCCTTGAAGAATGTCACACATTACATAATCAATGTGCTTACTGAGTTGGAAAAGACAGGATTTCACCACACTTCTCAGTGGCAAATGTATTCTTGGAGTTTTATCGCTTCAATTACTAACCATAACCAAAAATGTTCTCATAATTTCAACTGAACAGCAACTAAATGACAGAACAATCATGTGTATGTCTATTCAGAAGGTTAGTTCGGAAAGTTATTGACACCCAAATGATCAAGTAAGCCAGAATTTGGGGGGGGGGATACCCCTTTGATTCCAATTCCTTGAACCCTCCTTAGCCAGCATGAATACTGGGAACTACTGTCCAAAAGTAACACCCCTAAGCTGTCATTCTACTGCTGCACAGTTATGGATGGTTTCATTATGCCTTTACATCTAACGAACTTGTCAACGTCTCCCAAGTTCCATTGAATTCAGTAAGGCTTAGTCCCAAGGTAAGCCAGCAAAAAATTACAGCCTAAATTTCTGACTATTTTAAAGTGGCCAGTGAAAAGATGAGAGGAAATAGTCAAAACAACTAGGAACACTTTGCTGCCTGAGATGAAGATCACATGGTGCTCCTTCCTTTTTCATGTCCAAAAGCTGGCTCGCTGGGAAGTTCAAATGGATGACGTCCTTTGCTGTGGTAACTTCCAGCATTTGCTACCTGATGGACACTGCTTCACTCTGACTATTGATAGGGATGGTCAGCCCTGACAAATAGTTGTGAAGAAGATAAACCAGTGGTACCCAACTTTTAGGCTTCCAGGTGTTTTGGACTTCAGTTTCCACAGTTCCTAACAGCTGGTAAGATGGCTGGGATTTCTGGGAGTTGAAGTCCAAAACACCTGGAGGCCCAAAGGTTGGGAACCACTGAGCTAAACTCTCACCACCCCTGCCTGCCTCAAGCTACAACTCTTGTCATCCCCACCCATTTCCTGCCAAATTGGTACTGACATATGTGTTGTAGTACAGCTCTCATACCTCTGTTAGACACACTGGATAATGGGGATTATTATTCAGCACATCAGTCTGGGGACCTAAGCTCCATGAAATATACACTGAATGGATGGATGAAAGATGGAGGATACATTGAACAAATGAAAAAAGGCAAAATTTATGTCCTGGACTACAAATGGTATAATCCCCACTAGCATGACCATTTGGGGTTATAGGTCACAGTTGAAGAGAACTAATTTGGGCAAAGCTGATCTAATTCTTTTAGGGCAATTATTTATATATTTTAAGCACCTCCTTTGAAAATGCCTGAAGGGGAACATAACATCAGAAAATCCACATAAGGAGCATAACCAAAAGATAAATTGCCTAAGGGTTGAGAAGAGCGGTATACAAATAAATTAAGTAAATAAGTAAATAAATAACTCTGATGACTAAAAACCAGAAAACCCACATGAGGTATATTGTCAAAAAAAGTTTATAAATCACAGAAGGAAAGATTAGTTGAGAGAACCCTTACCTGACTCCTGTGATCCCATTGAGATAAAGAAGTAGCTTCAGCTCAGATGTAAAGCTGGAAGTTAACACAGTTCGTAACAACTGGAGTGAAAGCGTCTGTCAGCATTGCCTAAGAAACCCAGCAACGGGGCAGCTGGCAAAAGGCAAATCTCATCAGCAAGGGATTTCACAAGGAAGTAAAACAAGGAAGTTCTCCTGAAGTCACCAACCAATAGAAACGCAATTCTCTCCCTGTACCATCGTATAGTACAGTTATAGCTACCTGTCAAGGAAGAAAGACATGTTTTGAGTTACAATTTTGCTTTCAGCATGGCATAACCTTCTAAAGATTTGTTTGTTTAGAAACAGAAAATCAGAGAAAATTGAACCTGTTTGGCTCCAGGTGATAGAGAAAGGGTACCACCTCACAATTCATTGATATTTATGTATTTGAGATCATTTTGGAACAGCCTAAAGTCCAAAAATAATTAGAGATGATTACACACAAATAAAACCCAACAACTAAAATGCAAATACATAGGGCAAAGATGATAATAAAACCAAGGGTGAGGGGAGAGGCAGCAAGATCTTAAAGACCAAAACTCTTAAGAATGGATTGCAATGGACTTTTAATGATGTGCTGTATTATTTATTTTTATACTCTTAGCTTTTAATCAATTTTGAATTATTATATTGTATAGATTGTTTAATTATTTTAAAAATAACGATTGTGCACCTTTACCGATAGTTTTATATGCTTTTAATTTGTGTTGTGTTTACATTTTATAAGTCACCTTGACTCTTAGAACTGTGGGGGAAGGGCTGTATAAATGAATAAATGCATAAAATAAATAAATTGGTGTGAGCAATCAAAACACAGGCTGTTAAAATTCTGGATTGTTTCTGAAACCATGTTGGCTTCCTTGACCACTGAAGCTGGCCATTGGCTTAGTGCAGACTTCAGTCTTGCAGGATCTTATAAAACCAGATGGTACCCACCAATCAGAGCCTGTTGCAAAAGAATCACAAGACCAGGAATCTGTATTGGAAACCAGAACTGAGGAGAGATTATAGTCATTCCACATAACAATTCATTCCTGGTCATACCAGTCTTTCTTAATGTTAAAAGTCTAAATAAGGATGGGTAGTACAGGCATAATTTTGTTTTTTCCAGTACTATGGTTAAATGGACTGAGAAAAATACTTGATTCAACTTGTTGAATAAACAGGTACAAGCAAAACAAATACAACTGGAAACTCTTGAAATTTCCAGATATGTTTTCTCCTTTCTGTGGCGTAAAGTAAAATAAACTACCTGCAGTTCACGTTTGATCAGCCCACACACTGCCTTGCCAGATAAAGAAAATATATGCCATGCAGATGAACAATGAAGAACAATTAGTTTATTCTACGGATATTACAACAACGTATTTACAATTATGTGATCAGTTTCATCGACTCACATAGTGTCCTTTTATAAGAGATTTAAAATGGCCTTTCTTTGTCCATGTGGATAAACTCCTTCAGCAGCTCATGAATCAAGAGTACACTCCAAACGCTCTCTGTCTGCTTCTCTCTGCATGCACGTGCATAGCTCAAGCCTGAAAAATGTAACAGTAACTAAAAGTCCCAGCCTCAGCCAGCTCCCCGGGCATAGCCCAACTAATCAGCTTTTATTTTATTTTATAGTTGACACACGCACCCTTACTGATTTCTTACATGCTCCAACACTTTCTGGAGGTGCCCCCAGATAATCACAATGGCTTGCTGATCCAGAGATCTAGTATCAAATTAATTGATCCAGGTCTACCTTCTGCCACTTTTCTTTTAAAGCAGGAGTGGGCTTTCTGGACATTCGTTTATTGTTTTTCCTGACAAGTAAACTCTTTAGGTTTACTAACTAAAGAGAAGTACAAAATAGTGACCCTGGAAGAGAAATATTGAAATAAGGAAGATGTTACCTTTGAATGCATGTTCAGTCAAGGAAGTTTCTTGTTGCAACCAGGGCTGAAACTCTCACACAGAGCCTTTTGCACAGACACTTCCTCCCACTTCCGTTATCTCAGAAGGCTCTCTCTGTTTAACCACTGTGATTTGAATACCCTTGCTAATTCTACCGCAAATCACCCAGAGAGCTATAGGTAAAAACCACTTTACCGTTTGTCTGCCCTGACATAGTGAATAGCATCAGCAGTTCCAGTAAGAAATCTTCGTGTAAATGTGCAGCAGGAATAGACCACACATTTCTTTGTATCACAACGTAAACCTGTTAGAACATGTCTGGAACAACTGACAGTACAGGTCTGTATGTCATATGACTCTGTTCTCTAATAACAAGAAAGATTTCAGATTTTAGTGCCCTTGATAGTATTGTTCTGAGCTATATAACCATTCCACTTCTGATGTCATGGCAAATCGAGAATTATTAATATGCATGCAGAATAAAGATAAAATGTACCACCTGTCAGTAATAAAGAACTGGTGGGATCATAAACCTGTAAAGGTAGAGGAAAATGAACACGCAAAAATACTGTGGGAATTTCGAATCCAGACTGACAAAGTTTTGGAACACAAAACACCAGACATCACGGTTGTGGAAAAGAAAAAAGTTTGGATTATTGATGTCGCCATACCAGGCAACAGTTGCATTGAGGAAAAACAACAGGAAAATCTCAGCCGTTATCAGGACCTCAAAATCGAACTGCAAAGGCTCTGGCATAAACCAGTACAGGTGGTCCCAGTGGTCATAGACATACTGGGTGCCATGCCAAAAGATCTCAGCCGGTATTTGGAAACAATTAACATTGACAAAATCATGATCTGTTAACTGCAAAAGGCCACCTTACTTGGATCTATGTGCATCATTCGAAAATACATCACTTACTTACTTGCTTATTTACTTAGATGATCCCTCGTTGCCCGAATAGGATTGTATTCCAAGACTGGTGTACTGGCAGTGGATATGTAGGTGACTGTGGAGCCCTATTCTTGATCTGCATGTTCTCCCGCAGTGAGGGTATTGGCTTCCAGGTGGAAGGTGGTCCCGGTCGGTGTTGGCTTGACGTGCCTTTCTCTTGGCACGTTTCTCTCTTTCACCCTCCATTTGTGTCTCTTCAAATTCTACAGCACTGCTGGTCACAGCTGACCTCCAGCTAGAGCGCTCAAGGGCCAGGGCTTCCCAGTTCTTCCACAGTGAGGGCATCGGTTTCCAGGTGGAAGGTGGTCCCAGTCAGGGTTGGCTTGACACACCTTCCTCTTGGCATGCATTGGGAGATGGTGCTTGGGCATTCGGACAACGTGGCCCGTCTAGTGGAGTTGATGGCGGAGGACTATCGCCTCAATGCTGATGTTCTTTACTTCTTCCAGCATGCTGACGTTTGTCCACTTGTCTTCCCAAGAGATTTGCAGGATTTTTCGGAGGCAATGCTGATGGAATCATTCTAGGAGCTGCATATGATGTCTGTAAATAGTCCACGTCTCGCAGTCACATCACACAGTCCTAGATGCTTGCACTGGGACTGTGGCACAGCTGGCTGGGAATCAGCTGCATTAAGATCACTACTGACCAAAAGGTCATGAGTCCGAAGCCAGCCTGGGTCGGAGTGAGTCTCTGACCAATTTGTCTAGCTTGCTGTCGAACTTTGTAGCCCAAAAGACAGTTGCCATCTGTCAAGTAGGAAATTTAGGTACCGCCTACGTGGGGAGGCTAATTTAACTAATTTACGATGCCATAAACATCTCAAGCAATACTGCAAAGAATGAGGAAGTACTTCATCAGTGTCACAAATGGACGGTGAAGCAACAGCTCCCCTGGTGGCCAGAATACCCTCATGAAAAAGTTAAATTACCTCTGTGTCTGTCTATATATGTTGTGTGTCTATGGCATTGAATGTTTGCCATGTATATATACATTGTAATCCACACCGAGTCCTCTGCGGGGTGAGAAGGGCGGAGTATAAATACTGTAAATAAATAAATAAATAAGTGTTCAACTTGTGATTTTGTGATATGAAATCCAGCATATATATCTTGTTTGCCATGACATACTGTGTTTTTGTGTCATAATAATAATAATAATAATAATAATAATAATAATAATAATAATCTTTTATTTATATAAATTTAGTTGCTTGTAGAGGATGGGGCCCATATGTGTCCAAAGGGGCTGTCATTGGGCCACCTCTGATTCTGAGTCACGATTGCAATCTGGCAAGGTCTTGCAAAGATTATTCAGTTGTGTGCACCTCAGTTCTGCAAGTGTTCCAGACATGCAACACCTGGCCCAAAGTTACTCATTCCATTTCATTCAGTTTTTTAAGCACCGTAGAGATATTAATAAGAAAAGACAATCCCGGCTAGCAATCAGAAAGTGCAGAAAGTAAAAATTAAAAAGCAAGCAAACATTGGAGCAGGAGCACCAATTCTGATTGAAAGTGGCCAGACTGTCCTTCCTCTTGCCATTTGTTGGAGGCAGCAGGTGCAATCCCCCATGATCCTTGGCCTGATGGCTGGAGATAGAGCCATCAGACCAAGTGTGCCTCCCATTAGCTTAGCAGTCCTAATACCAGTGAGAATGACTAGACTTGTGGGTAAGATACAAAATTGCTGGACTTAACCCCCTGCCTCACTGTTGTTCCCCTTTCCATGTGTTTCCCGTCTTTTTAGATAATAAACTAGAGGGCAGACTCTTTCCAATTAGCTATTTATACGGTCCATATGCTTTAAACACACACAAACTCACACATATACATAAGCCGCAGTGATGCATGTGTCATCTAAAAGGACAGTGAGGTGTGATCATTAGAGAGTTGGACTGGGACTTGGGAAAATCAGGTTCTAGATCCCACTCAGCTGTGAAATGGGGTGAATGACTTTGGGCCAGACAGTTTCTTCCAGCTTGAATTACCATATCTCAGAAGGTTTCTTTTAGGTGATTTGGGGAGTAGAGGAGCCATGTAGTCCACACTGAGCTCATTGGAGGAAAGGTGGGGTACAAAAGTATCTTATCAAAGAAGATGATTTCCACTTTTCAAATGGGGCACCCGGTGGTGCAATGGGTCAAACCCTTGAGCTGGCAGGACTGCTGATTAAAAGGTTGGCAGTTCGAATCCAGGGAGTGGGGTGAGCTCCCGTCTGTCATGCCGGGACATGAGAGAAGCCACCCACAGGATGGTAAACGTCCTGGGCAATGTCCTTGCAGATGGCCAATTCTCTCACACCAGAAGTGACTTGCAGTTTCTCAAGTCACTCCTGACACAGAAAAAAACTTTACAAATCCTTACAAGACCTCAGTTTGCACTCCATCAGTGACTTGTGTATCATTACCTGCATCACTATTTTGGTCATTATGGAGATTGGAATTCTCTACTGACCTCCCACAATGATTGAACTCCCTTCGCACAAGCCACCTTTAAAGCTTCTGAAGACCCTTCCCATTACAGCCAAGTATTAACCAATGGAGAGGACATGGTGGTGATAGTGGTGGATAATGGCCAGCTATGTTCCTGTTGTTGGATAAGCAGGACCAATATCATCCTCTGGGGCTTGTGAAGGAGACCTTCCTCAAAATTTGCAGAACACACCTTCTCATTACAAGAACATAAGCTACAAGAACATAAGTGGACACTTTTCTGCTACCTCATACTTTCCATCAGCTAGTAAATGACCATGTTGGGGAGACCGCAGCAGGTAAATTGCAGCCTTTGGGTGGTGATGGAGAAAACATGACAGTTCAGAACATATACCTCTCCTGATCCAGAATCTTGACCAATATTTTAACATTTTCATGAATAGTCCAAAATGTTAAAGAAATTACTCTTTGTAGCATAGAAGTGTGCTGTACAGTAATGGGGGAAAAACCTGGCAGAATGTTAGTCAGACAAGCCGCAAAAAAAGAAAAAAAGGTAGCAACCTTAGCTGCAACTCAGGGCACACGGTCCTATAACCAGAATATCAAGGCAGATAATCCAGAATATCTGCTTTGAACTTGGTTACCTGAGTCCACACTGCCATATAATCCAGCTCAAAGCAGATAATGTGGGATTTTATTCAGATGTGGAAGGAGCCTCAGGAAAAGTCAGAAAAACCAAAAGAGAAACAAAGATATGGTGCAACTATTGGAAGTCCTTGACCGAAAAGCAGAATTTCCAGAAGCCGTAATATCTTTTCTTCCCCACTCCACTCCCAGTACCTTCCAGGAAGTGGAGTTAAAAATTATATTCTGGTTCCCAGCATTGCAATAAATAAAGTTCAGGGTTCTCAGTGTATTTTGAGGAAGTAAAGAAACATCTTTATTTCATTTCCTGCTTTGTTCTACTTGCTTTGTTATCATTTTTTCTGGGGTTAATTTTTTGTGTATGAGTGAGCAAATATTGCTGCGGTGAAGTAGGTGCTCTTGTGTCTGTTTTATGCATGAGTCTAATGTTACAGAGGAAAACAGATTATGAAATGTGTATGAGCTCATAGATTGTGTTATGAAGGCTGTTCGGAAGTGATGCTCAGAAATCAAATTCCTAAAGATCCAAAATTCTGTCTCCTCAAGACTGTTGGCATAAAAGCAAAATATACCGTACCATCCATAAACTCTTAAGCAATTACTAGTTATTTGTATGGCTTCAACTATTTGATTAAAGTAGAGTTTCTGGACTTCAGCACCCACAATTCCTAACAGCTGCTAGCTGGCTGGGATTTCTGGGAGCTGAAGTCCAAGGGCCCTTCCACACAGCCCTATACCCGGAACATCAAGACAGAAAATCCCACATTATCTGAGTGTGGACTCAGATAACCCAGTTCAAAGCAGATATTGTGGAATTTTCTGCCTTGATATTCTGGAATATAGGGCTGTGTGGAAGGGCCTTAAAACACCTGCAGGAGCACAGTTTGAAAAAAATTGGGTTAAAATAAACCCACATTTACATGTAGTGGAATTATACAGTAACAAAGAGCATGCTGTGCTTTTCAAACAGTCACACAATTCCAAATCATACCACAGCGTCACCATATGAAAGATGAACACAGATGGATCTGCAGACTTTCTCTGGCCATTTCCACTTCTGTTCAAAATGGTAACTCTATCCAGACTTTTCCTATATGACTGTAGTCGTGCTCCAAAACACAGAAATACTGAAGGATATTGCATAGAAGTTTGGCATAGGAACAGCATCAAGCTTTGACTCATCCTGCATCAAGTTTCATTGCAATGGTGTAACTGGATACATTTAATTCCACTAAATATCTGTACAGTTCTGTTTTCCTTTGTTTTCTGGGGAACAGCCCATCAGATATTTGTACAATGTTTGTTTGATATGCAACAGTAAATTTGCTCCATGAATTATTTTTGGCATACTAAACAGCAAAGGCATCAATGTATTGGTTTACTTCTTTTGTGTTATGCTTGGTAATGGCAGCGACAAATACTGGCTGTGGAATACTGGTTGTTGTGGTTCCAAAACTTACAAGCTATGAGTTATGCTTTCGTTTTGTAAAATGCTATCAGCAACTGTGAATTTGATTCCACTCCACTTGCTTTCTCATCCCTACAACAACTTTCCAACCACCCCATGGAAAAAGTACCATCCTACTGACTTTCATGGCTCAGTGGGAAGTACAGTTTGGATCTCCCTAATCCTCACCTGACCACATAACCCCTTCCCCTGAGGCTCTTACACAATTTTCAACCTGAAACTCTGTTCCTGCCCTTTTAACAATAGTTTGATCTGCAGATTTTAGCAGTTGATACACCCTGTCCTTAGAGTATAAACCAGTGTACACAATTTATCTGCTAATTTCTGTTGATCTAGCTGATCTTAAAACAAAGAGCAAAGCAGTCAATTCTGTGACCAGGTCAGTTGCTACTATTACAGACATGTTATCTCTGGGGATTTTCCTGCTCAGGGGTCAGAAATAGGGGAAATGCTGTGAAATTGAACGAGAGTGGGGATTCTCTAGATTGCCCCATAATTTGAGTCACAAGGGCAGTTAATCATTCGTGAGCAAAGCCGAAGTTATAGGCATTCTCGTGTGCACTTTCAACAGGCAGAGCTACTTCCTTGTTTGAAAACGTACAGTACTTCTTCCGCCTCTTTAAGTACAAGGGTGGTCTTTTCCCCAACCTTCCGCAAATTCATTGGCTGAAGATTCTGAAGCTGTAGTACAAAATGATCAGACGGTGATTGGTAGGATAACCTTCTACAAGAGTAAGTAAAGTAAAGGTAAAGGTTTCCCCTGATATTAAGTATAGTCATGTCCAACTCTGAGGGATGGTGCTCATCTCAATTTCTAAGTTGAAGAGCCAGCGTTGTCATGTGGCCGGTATGACTGCTTGGAATGCCATTACCTTCCCACCATAGCAGTACCTATTGATCTACTCACATTTACATGTTTTCAAACTGCTAGGTTGGCAGAAGCTGGGGCTAACAGACGGAGCTCACCACACTCCTCGGATTCAAACCACCCACCTTTCAGTTAGCAAGTTAAGCAGCTCAGCGGCTTAACACACTGCACCACCGGGGCTCCTCCATAAGAGTAATTTAATTTTTTAAAACACTAGGCGATTCTTTATCTAATAATCTCTCTTGTGTCTCATTTAGAAACATGTAGCTGTGCAAAATCTATGTATGTGGGTTCCATGGAGAAAGCTGGCACTATTGAATACTTGCATCTTGCACACCTATTTAAAGGACAGAGAAGCTTCACCAAACATTGGCTGCCAACCTTAGAAGAGAAGGAATGATTTGAGAAATAAGGTGGCTCCAGGGGAGAAAGAATGAGCAAGCAGTGAGTGGAAAGCTGAGAAAATGGTAGGTTTTGAAGGCAGGAAAATGAAGAAAAAAGAAGGAGTGAGACAAAACTTCATGTGACACTGTCCCTACAGTGGAGGTGAAAATCAATGTGCCATTCAGAGGTGCCCCTGGTGGCGCAATGGGTTAAACCCTTGTGCCCGCAGAATGCTGACCAATAGGTCAGCGGTTCAAATCTGGGGAGAGTGGGTTGAGCTCACTTTGTCAGCTCCAGCTCTATATGCGGGGACATGAGAGAAGCCTCTCATGAGGATGGTAAAACATCAAACATCTGGGCTTCCCCTGGGCTATGTCTTTGTAGATGACAAATTCTCTCACACCAGAAGCTACTTGCAGTTTCTCAAGTCACTCCTGACACACACAAAAAATTGGGAGGAAAGATGCAATTTTAATGAGAATTGAAAAGATTATAGACAAATCACCCAAAACCCTACTGCAGTCCTCACTTTCAAGCACATTTTTTAAAAATGTGGACACCCCCCAAACATGTTTTATAGTTTGTTTACAAAATAAACATTGTAAAGGGATGGCAGTCTTTGGCTCCTTTTATTTATTACTGTTTTTATAAGATTTACAGTACAGTCAGCCCTATGCGTTAGTGGTGTTAGGGATGCAGGACTCTTGGAAAAGTGGAAAATCCATGAATTAAAAGCCACTAACATTTTTTTACCAGAGATAATACTTCTATATGCATTTCTATGTCTTCTAGTGAAACTCTATGGTCAAGTGTTGGGCAGAAGTTGACTACAGCATTGCTCTGGAGGAGATTCCTAGAGACCGTATTAATCAAATCTAAGAATGATCAAATCTGCAAAAGTTAGACCCACAAATGTGGGATGCTGACTGTAGTGAGAAATCTTGTAAGATTTGAAAGATTGTAGAGAAGAAAGCACCTGCAAAATAATCTACATCTGAAAAAGTAGCTAACATTAAACATTCTAGCAATGCTAAACAGGGTGATCATTTCATCAGTTCAGTATCTTAACAGTGTCCTTGATTGTTCTCATTATTTTAAACTTGGTTTTGAATAATGCCTGAGGAACTTATTTTACAAACGCCTTATACATACACATAATAAATGAATAAATCCTTGGAAGGAGAAATGGAAGGCTGCATATTGCTCTTATCACATTTTGCTTATTTGCCCAGGATGTGTAACATTTGTGTTGGGTGTTGCTGAATTATCTGTGATTTTGCAGAATCACCCTCAGTGAGGAAACTGAAGGGGAAAAATTATGTAGATAGAGGCATGGAACCAAAATGTTCTTGGTTTTCTCAGTACAAACCTGAGATACATTCCAGTTTCTCTCCCACTTTCACTTTCAAACAATTGGGGGATTGGGGGTGGGTGACAACTACAAAGGGTTGGTGAAGTCACTAATTATGCATGGTCCTGAACTAACAGTACATTTAATAAACAGGGAGCCATTCCTCAGTAACAGCAGGTTTTTGTAGAAATTGTTCACTGCTTGCTTGGCCCTTTCAGGTGTTTTCAAACTACAACTGTGAGTAGTGTTATATCTGACCTGACTGTTGCCTGGTACTGATGAGTTCTGGAGACCAGCATCTGGAGTCAGAGGCTCTCCTCCTTTGCCTCAGATGGTGCTTAAATTAGCTAAATTGGGAAGAACTTCACCAGATCAGATTAAAGATCCAGGAAGCACAGTATCTTATTTAAAATAGTGGGCAGCTAAAAAAAAACTTCTATTTTTTCCATATTAGTTGTCCATTCCATTCTTCTGAAGATCCAGGAGCAGACAAATTGCCCCTTCACCCACTAAAGTTGGTTGTCCCTGCTTTAAAGGTATGAGTAGGCATGAGGTTTGTCCCTTCTTTAAAGGTATGAGCAGGCATGGTGGGCTGAAACTCAAACATTTTATTGAAACACACATTTTTGAACAGTTGATATTCTTTCTTAGTATTATGCCGAGGGGCTACATCATAATTGTTAATTAAAATGACAAATTGTTTTAGTGTTTGATTTCTCAGTTCCTACCCCCTACAGAAATGTCACTTTCCAGTGAACTTCTGCAAATTTACAGTCTTGGCTGGGTTTCTGCATGGAAATCATAGCAGTTTCAACTTATAGAAATACATTTAACATCATTTTGAGAAGACTGGGTTCCTCCAGGTGTTTTCATGATTTAGCTTCTTGATTTTTCTGGGTTTTGCTGGTTATTGTCTCCTGTGTCCATTTTATTCTATTCCATTCTATTCTATTCAGTAGCTATTTGTAGTGAATTTTTGTGTCTGCACAAAGGCTGTTCCAAAGTTTTGTTTTTGTTTTTTTGCAAATCAGAACATAGCCACTGAACTGACCATAAGTTGAAAGGGCAAATGTTTCTTGATTGCTTGGTTCCTTTTTGATTTTTTTCTCCTTCAAGATATAGTATAAAAGTGCCATTTAATTGATGCAACACAACTCTGAGAAAAAAATTAAATGCAGGAAAAGAGAAGAAGACTTTGTTTTCAATATATCTCAAAATTAAAAACAAAGAAATTGACAGGACAACTACTATCTGGGACAACATAAATGTTTTTGGATATTTTCTTTTAAGAATTTTAGCAATACACCTACCATGCAATCTTGTGACACATATGCACCATCTGGATGAATCCAGTATGGCCAAAACTAAATCTTGCCACCCATGGTGCAAGAGATTCCATTCAGCGGGGCAAGGAGTCTCCCATTAACATTCACAGATGATTCCACCACAGTTTCAGAGACTTTCATTCCCAATCCATGAATTTTCATCATTCCACTGGAATAATTTAGACACGACTGCGGAAGGGGCTGGGCTTGTCAGATGACTGAAATGACCTGCATGGTGGGTTTTGGGCTGAAAAGGGGCCAAAGAATTCAGCAGCAAAGGTGACTACATCATCAGGCTTGCGAAGGAGAAGCAGCTGCAGAAAGTCTGCCAGCAAGGCATTCAGCTCAGGATGTCGCCGCACATAAGTAGCATGGCTGGCTTGAAGCTCTTCCTAAGAGAGTGAAAGCAACAGGCCACTATTAATAGAGTGCTCTTCCAATGGGGCAATGCATTAGGGGTAAAGGCAAAGTACTGACCTATTATCCCAGGAAAGAGTCATCAAATTTCATCTATAAAACGTTCTGGCCTTTGGAAAACACAGCTCTAAGGATATCTCAGAGACCTAACATGCACAGACGACAACACAGTATCTTTCTTACCTATCTCAGTCTTTCAATACTGTGTGTTGTTACTACAACTCCCAGCATTGCTCACTATTGGTCAGGCTGGCTGGGAACTGCAGTCCAACAAATCGGAAGAGCTATGTGATTCTCAACCCAGTAGAATCCCTACAGTGAACTTTAAATTTATATTCTATTTTTATTTTAATATATATATGTGTGTGTGTGTGTGTGTTTGCATTGTCTTTTAATCCTTGCACTATGTATTTTAATACAGTATACATATTTTGTGATGCTGTGTTTTAATGTTTGTATTTATGCCATGTCTTTTATGGAGATGGGTTTTAACTGTGTTGTGCCCTGTTTCGAGCTGTGAGAGAGGCAGGTAACAAATTATTATTATTATTTCCAAGTATCATCACTTAAAGTGTAAATTCTGAAAAAGCTGCATGCATTCCCTCGCCCATTGCAGAGAAAACAATTTGGATGGAGAATAGAAGGAAAGCAACATCCTGGGGGAAGGCTAAGCAGTCCTCTGACCATGCTGCTGCTCCTATCCAATTTGGGGCCCCACTTCAATTGCTTTGAGAACAAAAATACAAATACTGAGATCTTACATCTTTTATGTCACATTGCATTTGGACTTTTAGTAAAAATTGGCATATTGTGGGGCATGATCCCACCTGTCAACTTCTCCTTGAACCCCATTTCCCTCCAAACTCACTTTTCTGTCTAAGAACATGGAATATAGCTGTGGATCCTCTTCCCAGTCTAGGAGTATTTTTCCAAACACCGGACGTGGATCTGGTTCATCTGGGAAATGATGGAAATGGAACAAGAGTGTTGGAAACATGAGATGTAGCGACAGCAGCAGCATATCCAGGAAGATTGGAAATTTAGACTACCGGAAACTTCAAGGCACAATGCCCAATACAATCATTAAAAAGTAATACTTCTAAGATCTGAGAAACTACAACCTAAAATTCCCAATGGTGCAATTTATGGCAACCAATGGCTAATGAAAGAGGAAGCATTCCTGCCATTTTGCTCAGATCAGCCAATTTACCCCAGTTGCTTCCCACAAGGAAGGCCAACAGAGTTCCCCTCAGTTATGACCAATTCATTTCCCACTGTTGACCATTCTGTTGACTATCTGGGTAAGGAGATACATGCTAGGACCTGGCTAGGATAGTTCATAACCTTCTCTTTACCTATTTCAATCAGAACAGGCATCTGCAGGATCACCATGATGGCTGGGGATCCAACCTGGACGCGTCGAGATAAATGCCTGGGTGGAGGAGGCAAGAAGGAAAACTAGCCAGCTGGACCCTTCTGTATTTCTTTCTGGAACTGAAAGAGACAGGCAGGAGCCCTACAGTGCTGTAAGCCATATGAGACTGCTGCCTTCAGGAGGAGAAACGGTGTATAGATCATTATGCCTCAGCTATGAATGGGAACTCCTTTTCTCATGGTATATGCAATTAATCAACCAGCAAATGCTGGTTTCAAACATGGAAAATATTTCCTCCCTTTCTATGTTTTAAAAATATTATCACTGTAGTTGACATCAGAAGCTTCCCTTTCTTAAGTGTCTAGACATTCCCCATTCCACATTGAATTGTCAAATCCTCAAGGCAAGATTGTGCTTAATATCTTGCCTTTACCACCTTGGCACCTTCTAAGTATAGTTTCTCTAATTCCAGCCAGCATGGCCAATGCTTGTTGGCGTTCCAGGAATGGTAGTTCACACTGTGCAGAGAGTACCAAGTTTCAGAGGTCTGGCCTATACTTCTGAGGCACTGAGAAGAATGCAGCCATGGTGCTTCATGACCCATTCCTACAGAAGCATTTCATTACGTAATTATTTAATTGATGATCATGCCTTTCTCCCAGTACAGGATCCAAAGTATGGGACCAAAAGAGCATTGCCCCATCTTATAAAAATTAGACTAGTGGCCACAAGTTGTGACAGAATATAGAAAACATAGGCAAAAAGGGGGGAACTGTGAGGAGCATGAATTAAGCATACACATCTTTGCTTGGTGTGTCAGAGTTTGGGAAGTGTGGGCCTGCTTTTGACGGATGAGATAGGTGAGGATTGTTGTGAGGATTGTTGTTGCCATTTTCCTTCCAGTTGTTTCAGGCTTAGGGCAACCCTAAGTCTAAAAAGTTTAGGGCGGGGTGGAGTGGATAAATGGCCTTGGAGGGTTGCATCCAGATCGCAGGCCTTAGTTTGGTGACCCGTTCTCTAGAACATGTAATTTAATCTCTTTTCGGGCCCCTCCCTGTACCTTTTAACAGTGGGGAAGGGTTAGGGTTAGGGACTTGGCTGCTTCTGGATTCCTCTGGAAGGGGCTATCTGACCCACTGTGGACACTAGACTCTCTTAAGCAGCCAATCTCAATCAGAAGTAACCAATCCCAATCTCTCCTGTAAAGAATTATGGTCAAGAACACCAGAAATCCAGGAAGATGGATGTCAATGGTTCCTATATGTTGTTAGACTGTAGGTCCTTTATCCAACCTCGAAATTCACATGTGGGACATTCTTGTCAAAGTATCTGGAAATGCTGCCTATAAACAACTATGCTATTTTTGCATCTCCCCCTTAGTCTACATATCATTGTGAATGCACTGTAACATACCGAAGACAGAGCAAAGAGTTTATTTGTTAATAGTCACCATTTCTGGAGTCTGTGCAACCAGAGTTCAAAGGAAACCTGTGACCCATGTTGAGCACCAAAAAAATCACCATTAAGAACACTACATGAGAGGCTGGGATGAATAAAGGGAGATAACCACAGTGTATGGTACGAAGCCTGGGCCTAAGGGATTACAATGGATCTTTCTTACCCATCAGATAGGAAGTAGAACTGCCAGTTCAGGGGAATCTCATCCACAGGGTGCACAGCTCTCTCAATCACAAACACTTCCACTTCCTCTTTGCCCACTTGCTGCTTCTGGAAGCCCAGGGTATCCTGGAATGTGATTGACAAATGAAAAGAGGTGTGTGCTTTCCTTTTCTTTTGCTAAGTGCAGAGGCAGCAATGTCTTGATTTCTACAGAGGATCTCCATTTTATTTCTGTCTCCACCCACCCCGCAATTCTGTATCACAGTCCTCTTAATCTATCTAGTTCATATTTATTTTTCTACCTATTTCAGTCCCAAAGATTAAAGAAGTCTTACAGAAGGAGTAGAGCCAAATGGGATGAGAAAGATGTCTGGAACAAGAAAGCCACAAGAACACATGAAGCCATTTTATACTGCCCAAAGCTTGGAAATATCTACATTGATTGACATCATGAAGAGGTATTCACTAGTTGTCTTTGATATTGCTAAGGACTGAACCTGGACTGTTTTGCATGTCGAACAGGCCTGCGCGGGATCAAACTAAAAGTACATGTCTAAAGGATTCTGGAAGTTCATAAGCAAAATGTGACAACCGCAAGGGCACCTTTCCGATTATGCCCTTTAGAAAATGATATTTTGAGCCCCAAGCTTAGAAAAATACTTTGTAAAATTCAAAATCCCAGAAGATCCAGCACTAGCAGGTGTATGAGAGAGATTACAGGAATATTTATCCAAAAACCTTGTCTTTCCAAGCTGTAGCAAAGGAATAATACTTCTGGTCCAGGAGGGAATCATAGCCAGCAAGTCTAGTAACTATGGATAATAATAATACATTTTATTTATATTGTGCTTTATCTCCATCTTTAAGACACATTGCTCTCTCCATCACCAAGATAGTCAAAGTGCCCCCACTGACCCGCCTTGTATGCCCCAGGCAGACTTACATAGGTGGAGGTACAGATGTGCTGCTCAGTGTCAAATGTGAGGAAGACAGCATCCTGCGGCACAACCTGCCTTCGGGCCATCACTCGCAACACCAGGAGGTTGGCAGACTCTGAGACGAAGCCTTGGAGTTGTGAGCACTTATAAGAGAAAGTGCTGACATGGATCTCTTCCTGTGTGCGAGAGAAGGAAAGCATCTCTCACCAAATCCCAGGAAAAAAGTCAGAGAATGGAAAATGGCTTTTGGGGCTTGTAAATGGCATTCCTGAGAGCCAGTGTTGGTGATTTGAGCACTGGACTATGACTGGTAACTAGGGTTCAAAGCCCTGCTCAGCCACAGAAGCCCATTGAGTCATCTCAGAGGAAGACAGACAAACTGCCTCTAAACCTGTGATAAAGTTGCTGTTAAGCAGTAAATTATTTGTAGGTGCATAACAATAGGTGGCATTCCAGAAGTAGCAGACAAATGTGCAGATTTAAATTCACTTTCTGAATGTTGTAAGATCAGATAAAATATCAAAATGTATTTTAAAAATCTTTGTTTTGAAAATAAATGGCTCTTAAAATAAATATTGAAATACAATTTTTCCTAATGGATCAGCTATACTATACTATATTAGAGGTTACTTCAGAGAGGCCACAAGATCTGGGGAGGTACAACATTGCTGCCACCACCTGGAAGTAACTTGAAGAGCATGGTGGGTTGTTACCTGATTAAAAATGCCACTGTAAGAGGCATCCAGGAATGGGAAAAATGGGATGGGAAAAAACTGGCAGACACCCAGGAGGCACAAAATGCCATTATGAGCTGTATGTGGCCCAGGACCTGCTTTTGCTCATTCCTTCCTCACAGAAGCCACAATATGTGGTTATTGCTGGTTAAGCCTTGTGAGTTGCCTATGGGATGTCTTGCATCCTGGAGAAAGAATTGGAAATGGATTGAATTTCAAAACCCTTTAGGAATGGTTTGCTTTACTCACATCTCTTTCCACTATGGCTTTCCTCACAAAGAGTTGATCTTGGCGCTTTGTCACATGGATCCTGGTTTCCACTGGATGCTCTCTAAACTGTAGGAAAGGGGAAACACAGCATGGTGACACATCCATGGCAGTACCATGCTCTTTCATGTTATACCACTTAATTGGCATGGCTTCATCCTTAAGAATCATGGGATTTGTAGTTTCATAAGGCACTTCATATAAGTTTTCCTTATACATACAGATGTGCTTTAGCAGGTGTTGAAGGGGTTGAAATTTGCAACATCCAAAGCACCCTTCTCAAGTGACTGTAATCCCCTGAAGCCACCTTGCATGGCCACTCTATAATTCAAGGTGAGCAAGCAAGTCCAGAGTAGTAGCTCAGCCCTCAGTAAGATGCATGGTGATTACAGACGTATGGAGACCCCTGGAAGATCCCCATGGATCTCAGCACTGGTTCATCATTGTATGGGATGTAGCTAGAATTTTTACTTATCCTGCCTGCTCACCTTGAAGCACAGAACTGCAATATGAGGCAGCTTCAGAGCGTTATTGTGGGTCAGGGACTGGAATTTGGTTCATTTTAGCCTAGGTCTCTGTGCAGATATTTACACAATATTGACCTGAAGCCCATGAGAGGAACTGCATGTCCTGATGAGAAGAAAGACCCACTGAGTTCAGCTTCCTTCTCTCAGAGGGAGAGAAGAGCACAGCTCCATCACGCCTAGGCCCAGAAAGAGACAAAGGCTTGCCTTCCATCCCAACTGCCACTGAGGGTACAGTTATGATGTATGAAACAGGCTGCTCCTCAGTAACATCACTTTCATTGGAAAGTGGAGGAGCCCCCGGTGGCACAGTGGGTTAAAGCCTTGTGCCGGCAAGACTGAAGACTGATAGGTCGCAGGTTTGAATCCGGGGAGAGGCATCAGCTCCAGCTCCTCATGCGGGGACATGAGAGAAGCCTCTCACAAAGGATGATAAAAAAAATCAAATCATCTGGGCGTCCCCTGGGCAACGTCCTTGCAGACGGCCAATTCTCTCACACCAGAAGTGACTTGCAGTTTCTCAAGTAACTCCTGACATGACACAAAAAAAAAATTGGAAAGTGGAGTAGGGATAAGTAGTGAAAGACTTTGACAATGCTAATATCCAGTAATATTACGTCTAAATCAGTGGTTCCCAACCTTGTTTTGACCAGAGACTACTTTGATCAGGGACCACTCTCCAACTTTAGTACCAAAAGGATAACAAATCGGTTTTGGTCAACTTTAGGTTCAGTTTGGTTATTTGGGGTGCAGATTCAGAAAATTGCATTGGATAAACCACATCAGCTCTAGTTTCTGATACAGATCATATGCCATCCAGTACTCGTCATCTGTTCATCCACAGAAAACCATATTTAATAAGCCTCAGTACTATATGAGGATTTCATGAGACCAGTTGCTCTCATTGCAACTGTGTTGTAATGATGAGGCCATGGATCATATTTTAGTTCTTGCCAACCACTGGTGGTCCATGGGTCACAGGTTGGGAACCACTGATCTAAATGATAGCTTGGTAAATTACTTTTACCAATGATCAGAATGTCCTAGTAGGGGAAATTTGAAATTCCAAAGAAGATAATTTTTCAAAGATCTGATCCAAATCTAGTTGCATAAACAAGCTAGTGTCTGGGAAGAGAAAGGTAATCAGAGTTGCATACGTTCAGGCTGTGCTGGCTAACAGAGGAAGAAGACAATGAATATACTGACCCTCACACTTTCCTTTGTATGCTGCTCAACAGTCTCCAGTTTCTTTGTTACACGTCCTAATGCAGAAGGAAGGGAGGGAACAAAGCCAACAAATAAGACTAATGCCATCTGCTCTGAAGAAGGATGCCAATTCTGTTTCTACAGTCAAGTTGCTTGTCAGTACTTTATCTCCCTTGGAAACACTTTCATCAAGTGACCCTGCATCAATCCACATTTTTTAGAAAAATTGCCTGAAGCTATGTCTCTAATTAGCTAGAAATTGCAATATTGGCTGTTGAACATATAGTATTCAGAGTGCTTACAGAGTTATTGTTTTTTGCTGAAATGACAACCCTCGGTTCATCCAGGGCTTTTTTAAAAAACAAAAAATAGAAATTCTAAATATTTCTTTTCCAAACAGTGCTTTCAGTGGATTGCTGTGAGTTTTTGGGCTGTATGGCAATGTTCTAGCAGCATTCTATCCTAACATTTCACCTGGATCTGTGGCTGGAAACTTCAGAAGATCTGTTGGCAGTGAGGCAACTGGAGGGTGGGAGAAAAAAACCCTTGTCCTGGACCACATCAGCAACATACACCCAAATATCCAATTTACCATGAAAAAAGAAAATGAAGGAAAACTACCATTTCTAGGTGTCGTCGTCCTCCACAAACCAAATCAACAATTGGGCTACACAGTTTACTGAAAAACTACACACACTGATAGATACTTACATAAAAACTCCAACCATCACCCAGATCAAAAAGAAGCACAATCAAAGCCCAGGTAGATCATGCAAACAAGACCTGTGAACCCCACTTCCTCCAGCTGGGCTCTACAGGCTAATATGTATTCTACAACTGACATCAGAAGATCTGCAAGATCAAGAAATATGTGAGAGGAAGCCACAGGGAGGAGGGAGCAAGCTTGTTTTCTGCTTCCTTGGAGACTAGGACGCGGAACAATGGCTTCAAACTACATGAGAGGAGATTCCATCTGAACGTGAGGAAGAACTTCCTGACTGTGAGAGCCGTTCAGCAGTGGAACTCTCTGCCCCGGAGTGTGGTGGAGGCTCCTTCTTTGGAAGCTTTTAAGCAGAGGCTGGATGGCCATTTGTCAGGGGTGATTTGAATGCAATATTCCTGCTTCTTGGCAGGGGGTTGGACTGGATGGCCCATGAGGTCTCTTCCAACTCTTTGATTCTATGATTCTATGATTCTATGAACAAGCCACAGGAGTAAACACAAAGCTCCACCTAGAGGAAGAGTGTTCTTACCATACATCAAGAGAACCGCTGTCTGCATAGAGGATACACAACCTAGAAACAATCTACAGACCCATTAAAATCCAACAAATTCTTCATTCAGCAAAGGACAAGAGGGATCATCTTATCTCTGCGGGAGTCTATACCATGAAGCTGTGGACAAGTCTACATAGGGACCACCAAATGCAGCAATGCCCAAACACGAATCAAGCAACATGGAAGGCACTGCAGACTAACTCAACCTGAGAAGTCAGTCATAGCAGAGCACTTGATGAACCAACCTGGAAACAGCATATTATTTGAGAACATGGAAATGCCGGACTACTCTAACAACCACTATGTCAGACTACATAGAGAAGACACTGAAATCCACAAGCACGTGAACAATTTCAACAGAAAGGAGGAAACCAGGAAAATGAACAAAATCTGGTTACCAGTATTAAAAAACACCAGATTAAGACAGTAAATAAGTAACATGACTCAATAACAGAACTCCAGACAGCAAACAATCAAGTGCCAGCAACAGAAGCCAAGCCAGCTCTATGAAGATTCCCTCAATGATTGACCTTGCAGCTTCATGGCTACTCTTATGTTACTCAAGCTTGCTAATTGCAACATTTACACTTGCTTTAAGGGACAAAGGTTCTTTCTCCCCAGAATCTCACAGCAACCCAAACCCTTCTCTGTTCAAAACAAGTGTGAATGTTGCAATTAGCAAGCTTGAAGTAGCATCTGAGTAGTCATGAAACAGTGAGGGTATCTGTATAGACTGGTAGCCTGGTCTTTGCTGCCTGGAGGCATCCTTTGTTTGGGAGGTGTTAACTGACCCTTGGTTACTTGATTTCTGGCACTCCCAAACAGAGAGTGCTTCCAAGCGGGAAAGGCCAGGATACCTCTATGCACACTTGCTTTAAACAGATGCAGACCAAACATTAGGAGAGAATGCCATTGGAACAATAGCCATACAGCCCGAAAAACTGACAGCAACCCAGTGATTCTGGCCATGAATTCCTTCGACAACAGTGTTTTCAGTATCATTTCCCTGTTTTCGCCCCCAAGACACAATGAATTACAATTAATTACATTTTAAAATTTAACAATGCAATGGCAGCACTAGTTTAACCAGTAGGAACTAGAAAGCAATTACTAAATATTGTTATTGAAATCTGTCTCCAAAACATTAGGAGGGTCAAATGTTCCAATCTGCAATACAGATCTCATTCAGCTATGGTGGAAAGTCTTGCCCTTCAGATGTTTTTGGATTGTAAATCCAAACTCTTCTCAACAGGCTGATGGGAGTTAGATTCCAACAATATCTGATAGGCCACACTTTGCCCTTCCGTGCAATACAGGGAGCGGAATAAAGAGGAACAGAGCAAGGGATCAAAAACATGCTTTAGACTGCTTCAATCCCAATGCTTAATACAACTCTCCAACGTTGTCTTCTAGTTTTCAGGGTCCAACACCCGCAATTTTGAAATGTGAAGTTTGAAGGTGGTTTTTGTGTACAGGGTTTTTTTTTTTACCATGTTACTGTAGCGAAATTACCTGTCATAGTGGTTGTGCAAGGTATGCCATCAATAGTCACCTTGCTGGTTGCACGGACAAGGTAACAGTCTTCATCCTGCCATTCGTTGATTGAATAGTAGGCCATTTCCACTGAGATGGAAAATGTTCCAATCGTCTGTCCGCTTTCTGAGATGGCAACCAGCGATTCTTCAAAAAGGCAAGGCTTGACGTCTTTTTCCTCTGTGACATGAGACCAGCAGAACTGCATCATTCAGGGGAAACAGGGAGACCCACCCAGAGGAAGAAAAGAAATCCCTCAAAAATGGCTACCAGTTATTATGAGTGGATGACAAAGAAAAAAGAAAAAAAGAAAAAAAAGACTTGGCACACACAGTGACCCTTCGAAGGGATTTTAGAGAATTTAATTTTTTTCAGCACAGGACCTAGGATGCACATCCCACATCTATTGAGAGTGCTTCTTAAATGACCTGTGATCTAGTGGTAGGCACTTATGGAAGACTGAGAACACATCAGCCCATCTCAGATTCCTTGGAAATTGATATACTTATAGAATCATAGTTGGAAGAGGCCTCATGGGCCATGCAGTCCAACCCCCTGCCAAGAACCAGGAAAATTGCCTTCAAAGCACCCCCGACAGATGGCCATCCAGCCTCTGTTTAAAAGCCTCAAAAGAAGAAGCTGCCACCACACTCCAGAACATAGAGTCCACTGCTGAATAGCTCTCACAGTCAGGAAGTTCTTCTTCATGTTCAGGTGGAATCTCTTTTCTTGTAGTTTGGAGCCATTATTCCTAGTCTCCAGGGTAGCAAAAAACAAGCTTGCTTCCTCCTCCCAATAACTTCCCCTTACATGGCCCTCATCATGTCTCCTCTTAGCCTTCTCTTCTGAAGGCTAAACATTCCCAGCTCTTTAAGCTGCTCCTCATAGGGCTTGTTCTTGATAATTTTAGTCATCTTTCTCTTGACACAGTCTAGAAAAGGGTAAAAGGAATTATATTTTTGCTTCCAAACATTTGTTAGAGTGGAGTGGGAGTATTCTGACATATTTTCAGGATACCCCTAGTCACTTTAAGCCCAAAAGAGACTTTTTTTTTCACAAAAAAGGAAGTGAGTCAATGTCTCACTTTCTATTCACTTCCTTATTCAAAGAAAATGCCTCTACTCAACTTAACTTTCCCCTCACAAAATGCGGCAAAATACCCCCATGTCCCATATACGGCATTTTGTGGATTTGTTTTGCTTCAGGGCCCACAGAAATGGTCCCAAGAAGCCACACGCCCCCTGCAGACTTCATTTCCATCACTCCTGCTATAATAAAAGAAATGAACTGTTGGAAATACAGCAGCACTTATCACTGAAGAGTGAATAATGCTTTATAACATTGGGATGTTTCTCCACCTCTTCTTCTTCTTCCCCTGAGTCCTCTCTGAACACTCCAATGTGTATCTGGGTTAGATCAATAACTTGAGTAACTTTCCTATCTTAGAATGAAATTCCTACAAGAGAGCTTAGTTTTTTTCTCCAAGCCTCTGGTGTGTTTACTCTTTAAATCAAGATCTCTAACAGCTGCATGCATGCTAACTTGAAGGGCAATTTGAAGTGAACCAGACTGTCCCTACTTTCCGCTTCTTACTCCTGGTTCTCCTCAAAGACCTGCCGGTTAAGATTGCCAATATGGAGGTGTTTGTTTGTTGAGACTGTAAAGCAAAAGAGAAGATTTAACACTTTCCTTTTTCCATTTATTACAATGAATGCTGCCTCTTTCCATATAGCTACTCTACAGCTCCTTCCACACTGCCCTATATCCCAGACACTGATCCCAGATTATCTGCTTTGAACTGGGTTATATGAGGCTCCACTGCCAGATAATCTGAGATAAGAAGATAATCTTGGACCAGATCCTGGGATATAGGGACAGTGTGGAAGGGGCCTAAGTCCTGCAGGAAAAAGTTCCACTGCCAACAAGGAGAGATTACACAGAAACAACAGAAGCATAGTTGGTCTGTCAGTAGGAATTGCAGCCATGTGGGAAGGGCAAAAGGGCCTCTCAATGCATGATGAAAGCCTGTCTCTTTTCGGTACCTTTTGTGATTAAAACAATAACAATTGAATATGATTTACCATGATGTATTCCATGCCATGTCTAGTTTGGACACAAAATGCCACATTTACAAAACCCAGAATTACAGAAGCCCTAGTCTGCCAATCATGACAAAGATGTGGTCCTTCTGTGGCTGGCTCTACATGGTAGAATGAATACATTTTAACACCACTTTAAGCCCTAAACCAGTGGTTCTCAACCTGTGGGTCCCCAAGTGCTTTGGCCTTCAATTCCCAGTAAACTGGCTGGGACTTCAGGAAGTTGTAGACCAAAACACCTGGGGACCCACAGGTTGAGAACCACTGCCCCAAATGGCTCCATTCCAGGATACTTATCTAACCACATCTCCGCATATAAACCAACATGGACACTGCAGTCAAAGTCAACGGAGGGGGCCCTGCTCTCTGTCCCACCCCCATTTCAAGTGCGATTGGTGGGGATGAGAGGGGACCTTATCTGTGATCTCTCCCTTCCTATGGAAATTAGGACAATCTCCTCACTCCACTCCTTTAAGAAGCAATTAAAAGCATACCTTTGTACATTTGCCTTTGGAGAGGAAGATGATTAGCATTTTACTGTTTTTATCAGGTCCAACAATGCTAACAGAGACTATATTACCTCAATTCATGGGAGAACCCCGTTTTATATGTGTTTACTTTATATTTTTTTACAGATTTCATCAGCTTGGTGTGTTATTCATGAGGTCGATCAACTACATGTTTTAGCCTAGATTGTTATATTGGTTTATTTTATCACTTTTTGTGGGTTCCTTTTTTATTTTTATAGCACATAGCATTGAATGTCTGCTGTTTTTGTTTTGGAAGCTGTCCTGAGTCCCTTTGGGGAGAAAGGGTAGGTTAAAAATAAATATATTATTATTTTAACTGTCAAGGCTAAATGTTACAGAATCCTGGGATTTATAGTTTGGTAAAGCGCCAGCCTTCTTTGGCAAAGAAGGCTAAAGACTTTGTAAAACTGCAGCTCACATGATTCAATAGCATTGAGCCCTGGGAATTAAAGAGGTGTCAACGTGCATTAATTCAGCCATCTAGATCAGGTTTGGGTAAACCCAGGCCTGGGAACCGAATGCAGCCCTTTGTGCTCTTTTCTCAGGCCCTCCTCTCTCACACCATCCTATCCTTCCTTCCTTCTCTTTCCTTCCTCCTTCCCTCCCTCTTTCTCACTTCCTCCTTCCTTCCCTTCTACCCCTTTGTCCTTCCTTCTTTCCCTCTTTTCTCCTTCTCTCTCTTTCTCCTTCCTTCATTCCTTCCTCCCTAACCCTCCCTCCAACCATCTCTTCCTTTCTCCCTTCTCTTTTTCCTTCCTCCTTTCCTCTTGGAGGATGTTTAACTGGGAGAAGAGAAGGAAGAGAAGGAACACGAGAGCCATGTTTCAAAATTTAAAAGGATATTCCACTGAGGAGGAAGAGGAGGAGGAGGCAGTGGTGGCATTGACTTTCTGCTGCTCTAGAGACCAGGGCACAAATGAGCAATGGTTTCAAATGGCAGGGAAAGAGATTCGACGGAAAAGATTAAGAAGAACTTCCTGGAGAGTGGCCTAGGCTGTCTGGGAGTGTGGTGGATTCTCCTTCTCCGGAGGCTTTTCCGCAGAGGTGGTCTATTGGGAGTGCTTTGATTGTGGCTTCTTGCATTGAAGGGGATTGGACTGCATGGCCCTTGGGAGTCTCTTCCAGTTCTAGGATTCTATATCAGGAGTAGGCAATACAGGGTCTAATGCAGGGGTCCTCAAACTTTTTAAACAGACTGCCAGGTCATAATCTCTCAAACTGTTGGAGGGCTGGATTATAATGTGAAAAAGGCACGGCTGGCGGGGACGAGAGATAGGGCCTTCTCGGTGGTGGCTCCTCGGCTGTGGAACACCCTTCCCATGGACATCAGGCTAGCTCCCTCCCTGTTGATATTCCGCAGGAAATTAAAGACCTGGCTGTTTAAGAAGGCATTTGAACAAGAAGTGCAATGATTGGTAATTTGACCATAGGAATGGAACAACGGAAATGATACCGGATTGTGGGTTTGACGATGAGACGACACGGAATGGCTTTTGTAGTAATGTTGATGTTTTTGATGAGGATGTTTTTTGATAATGATGAATTGTGGATTATTTTACACTCTGTCTTGTATTTTGCACTTGTTTTTCTATGTTGTACACTGCAATGAGTCGCCCCTGGGCTGAGAATTGCAGTATATAAGCGAAGTAAATAAATAAATAAATAAAAATAAAAAGCATGAATTCCTATGCACACTGAACATATCTTATTTGTAGTGCAAGAAACACTTTAAAACAATACTATAATTAAAATGAAGGACAATTTTAACAAATATAAACTTTTTAGTATTTAAATGGGAAGTGTGGGCCTGCTTTTGGCTGATGAGATGGGATTGTTGTTGTTGTGTGATTTCAAGTAGTTTCAGACTTAGGTTGACCCTGAGCGAGGGCTGGGTAAATAAACTTGGAGGGCCGTATCCAGCCCTCGGGCCTTAGTTTGAGGGGCCCACAAACTAATGGATACGCCTTTTTTCCCCCATCCACCATCTCATCCTGACCGAAGCTAACACTTTTGGGATCCAAATGTTTCCTGTCGTTCCTTCGCTTTCGGCCTCCAAAAGAGAAGAGAAAGGGGAGGAAAGGGCAGGGAGGGGGCTTGGGGAGAACCCTCTCCTTCCCTCCCGGCCCGCCCACCCTGCTCTGGCCCACCATGTGGGCCCCCAAGCTAGAAAGTTTACCCATGCCTGATGTAGATGCACCCTGAAATGAACAGCCACCCCTCCATCTGCTAATGAGAGGACACTCACCAATGAGGGAGAGGAATTCCACTGCGTCCTTGCTGGCAATTGGGATTTTTGGCATTGCTGCCTCTTCAGTCACTTCTTCTGACTTCTGTTTTTGCATTTTGAGGAGCCGGTCAAGGTCAAGCTGGTGGCTTTAGGTGTGTATCAAAAGGTATGTTTTCCAAAGGGCCGGTGGTCTGGAGTTCTGGAAGAAAAAGACCGATAATAAGGCGTGATTAAAGGCCATAATGAATGGTATCCTTGAAGTGACTGGCTTGAACTTGAAGGGGCTGGGGGTGGCCACGGCCGACAGGGAGCTCTGGCGTGGGCTGGTCCATGAAGTCTCGAGGAGAAGGAAGCGACTGAATGAATAAACAACAACAAACAAAGGCCATAATTTTACAAGATCTTCCCTGACAAGAGTGCTGGTGCCCACCAAACTATACACCCCATGATTCCATACCATTCAGCCATGGCAATTGAAGTGGAGTCAAATTGCATTAATTCTACAGTGTAGATCAGACATGGGCAAACTGGGGCCCTTCAGGTCCCATCATTGGGGGGTGTTTTTTGGGGGGGGGGGGTGGGGGGGGGGGTTTTTTCTAGATTTGGACTACAACTCCCAGCCATTCCTAACAGCCTCAGGCCCTTTCCTTTTCCCTCAGCCGCTTAAAAAGGAAGGGGCCTGAGGCTGTTAGGAATGGTGGGAGTTGGAGTCCAAAACACCCAGAGGGCCCCAGTTTGCCCAGGCCTACTGTAGATGCACCCCCAGTTGTTGACATTCCTTCCCTTGTAGACAGGCTTCCCAGGAAAATGATGGGCCTACAAAAACCCCTTCCAGCCCATATTAGTCCCACAGAGGCCTTCCATCCAGAGACTCACTAGCTTTCCCTTTCTTCCAGAGGAGGAGGCAATGTTGTCTACTAGTTACCATAGCAACCATCTTCCTTTCCTGCTTCTTAAAGGGACAGAGCTTTTTTTGTGTGAGATGGGCAGGACAGCTTTCCCTAGAACTCCTGAGCAAGGAAAGAAGGCAAAAGGGGAACTAGGAATAAAGATCTTGACCATCCAATATTTGTCAAAATACAGCTGACATACTGTGGTGGTTTACTTGGTCTCCTCAGGCCTTGAGGAGGCGGGTAACCAATAAAATTATTGATTGTGGAAGGCTTTTATGGCCGGAATCACTGGGTTGTTGTAGTTTTTTTCGGGTTATATGGCCATGCTTTCAGGCTATATGGCCATCTAAGAGGCAGGCGAAACGTCAGGAGAGAATGCCTCTAGAACATGGCCATATAGCCCAAAAAAACCCTACAACAACCCAAAATTATTATTATTATTAATAATATTGTGTTGTTGAAGGCTTTCATGGCCGGAATCACTGGGTTGCTGTGAGTTTTCCGAGCTGTGTGGCCATGTTCCAGAAGCATTCTCTCCTGACGTTTCGCCCACATCCATGGCAGGCATCATTAGAGGTTATGAGGTCTATTGGAAACAAATCAAGTGGGGTTTATATATCTGTGGAATGTCCTGGGTAGGAAAAAGAACTCTTGTCTGTTGGAGGTAGGTGTGAATGTTGCAATTGGTCACGTTGATTAACACTGAATAGCCTTGCAGCTTCACACCCTGGCTATTTCCTGCCTGGAGGAATCCTTTGTTGGGAGGTGTTAGCTGGCCCCAATTGTTTCCTGTCTGTTGTTATAGTATTCCTCTTTATATACGTCCTGATTTTATACTTTTTTAAAAAATACTGCTAACCTATTTTTGTTCATTTTCATTGTTTCCTCCCCGATCAGAGCCAGCTAACACCTCTCAACAAAAGATTCCCCCCAGGCAGGAATAAGCCAGGCTTTGAAGCGACAAGGTCATTCGATGCTAATCAAGATAGCAGATATGGCAGGCAATCTCTGAGGATGCCTGCTATAGATGCAGGTGAAACGTCAGGAGAGAATGCTTCTAGAACATGGCCAGACAGCCCAAAAAACTTACAGCAATCCACTAATCAAGATACCAATGGCAACATGCACACTTGCCTCAAGCAGACAAGAGTTTTTTCTCCCACCCTGGACATTTCACAGATATACAAATCCCACTTGCCTAGTTTCCAACAGATCTCACAACCTCTGAGGATGCCTGCCATAGATGCGGGAGAAAGGTCAGGAGAGAATGCTTCTGGAATATGGCCAGACAGCCCGGAAAACTGACAGCAACCCAATAATAATATTATTACTATTAGTACTATATATCAGGTGGGATTATACATAAGGAGATGGGGGTAAATAGGGGCCTCTTCAAGACAGAAGTATCCATTTGCAGTATGTGAACTCAGAGAATAAAAAAGCAGGGATGAAAGGAGTCAGAAATAAACTGTGTTAAGCCTGTGTTGAGTCATTTGCTTATTTTAATGCATGTAAATAGGCTCGAGAATATACCACTAAAGGCTTGTACAGTTGTAATATTTAGAGGCCAACACTTTAACCCTCGACCCCTCCCTTCTTTCTTAAGCAATCCTTCATTGTCTCCTGATCCTAAGCCATCTTTACAGTAGCAGTGTTGCCATAGTGACTGGAGAGCTTCCTGAGACAAAAATGACATTTGGTATAAAATTAATGTTTTAAAATGACAGCTTTCAGCTGCCATCCATCCTTTTCAGGCAGTGCAACCAATGGTGAGAGCTAGATTTGCCTCTATAGTTAAAGAAAGGCCGCTTTATATACTTATTACAATATTAATACAAATATATTTGCAAAATAATAATAATAATAATAATATACATGTGTGTTGTATTTCTTGAAGTACTTTCCCTAAGGTGACCTTCTGAGGCTGGATGGCCAACTGTTGGGGGTGCTTTGATTGTGCTTTTCCTGCATGGCAGGGGGTTGGACTAGATGGCCCATGTGATCTCTTCCAACTCTATGATTCTATTGATGAGGCTGAGAGGGTGTGACTTGACAAAGGGCACCCAGTGGGTTTCCATCGGCAAGTGGGATTTGAACTCGGTTCTCCCAAATTCTAGCCTAGAACCTGAACTTTTACACCAATCAGGACCATTTTTTAAATTGGCCAGAACTTAGAAAAGTTACTTTTTTGAATGATAACTCCCAGGAGCCTTCAGCCAGCATGGGCTTAGGAATTCTCAAGAGATGTAGGGCATACATTATTTTTTCTGAGCTATGATCTTGATTTATATACAGTTACTCATTTTTCCTCAGAGGGTGCCTGCCATATATGCAGGCAAAACGTCAGGAGAGAATGCTTCTAGAACATGGCTACATAGCCTGAAAAACCTACAACCCAATGAACTTGATTTTAAAGTAACATTTACCATAATAACTATCTCTTCAAAATAAGAGGGCTATATTGGCCACCCCATGCTCTGTATGGAGGTGGGATAATGTAATATACATGTAACAAACATACAATGCTAAAATGCAATAAATACGATAAGAGGGTTGCAACTCCCAGTCTTCCTTCTATGCCATCAATTGGGATATTCATACCAACCTTTGTGTCTATGCCTAGATTACAGCACACACACTGAATATAGAGAGAATGCAGAGGAGAAATATGGGAGGTGACTTTTATCACATTAGACATTTACTGCCACTATCCAGTAGATGGCACTCTTCACACTACAGACACATTAGCAACAAAGAACAGAAGGAAATATGACAATTCTCTTGCTCTGAAGTTGCATTCACACTGTAAAATTAATGCAGTTTGGCACCACTCAAACTATAGTGTATGCAAACGCTCTACAGCAGTGGTTCCCAACCTTTTTTTGACCTGGGACCACTTGACCAGGGACCACTTTGACCAGGGACCACTCACCAACATTAGTACCAAAAGGGTTACGAATCAGTTTTTGGTCAACTTTAGATTTGGTTTGGTTATTTGGGGTGCTGATTCAGAAAATTGCATTGGATAGACCACATCAGCTCTAGATTCTGATACAGAACATAATGCCATCCAGTAGTCACCATCTGCCCGTCCACTGAAAACCATATTTAATAAGACTTGTCGTTCTTGGTGCAATGATGTAGTAACAGTGAGACCGCAGACCATATTCTAGTTCTTGTGGACCACTGGTGGTCCATGGACCACAGGTTGGGAACCACTGCTCTATAGTGTTTGCCATAGCTCAACAGTATAGAATCATGGGAGATATAGTTTTACAATGTCTTCCTTTCTGCCGTCTTCTCTGGCAAAGAGTGCTGGTGCTTCACTAAACTACAGCTCCCAGGATTCCATAGCATTGAGCCATGGCAGCTAAAGTGGTGTCAAACTGCATTCATGCCCAAGCGCTGGGAAAATGCAATTACTCCGCAACACATACATTAGGCTCTGAGTACTTGGTTGAATGAGGTTGGATCTACACCACCATATAGTCCAGTTTCTGAATCCAGATTATCTGGATATTCCAGATTCAAGGTTCACACAGCCAAAGATTCAGAGCTTTGAAGGTTTTTAGTATAATGTTTTAAGGACAACCTCAGTAGCCTGAGGACCAGGGATTTTAATGATAAATGTTGTTATTAATTATGCTTATTTTATATGGTTTATGCAAGACGCTTATGCAATGTGTTTTTGTTTATTTGTTTACTTGTTTGGGTTGCGGGATGATATTGTATTCGTGTATTATGTAATTTCTGGGCTTTTTAACCATTTGTTCGCTGCTTTGAGTCCCACCCATGGGAGAAAAGCAGGATAAAAATAAATAAATGCATAAATAAATAATATGTGCTTTGAACTGGATTATCTGAGTCTACACTGCCATATAATCCAGTTCAAAGCAGATAATCTGGCTTCAGAAACTGGAATATATGGTAGTGTAGATAAGGCCTCAGAGACAACACATAAGCAGCTTTCTTCACAGTAAAATCTGATTTTCTGTACTTTTAAAAAAACTGCTGTTAATGTTATGATTTAGCTGTGTTTCTAACACAGCAGTCCTAGTCTTACTACTATTAATATGCATTTTGTGATCCCATTCTAGAAAATGGAAAGGAGGGGAATAAATTTTAAAGCAGACACAGACTCAGTTCTGCAAAGTTAGATAGGGTCTGACCATGGGCCTGTAATAATAATAATAATAATAATAATAATAATAATAATAATAATACGATGTATTTATTACTGCCTCTCCTGATGGCTCGAGGAAAGGTACAACAAAGTAAAACTACGTATATGAACAGAAACTATAGGCAACACATTACATAGATAAAAACACAAAAATATTTTAAAAACTTGCACCAACACAGATACTTAATTGTCATATAGTATGTGTTTATTATAAAATCAGACTATGGCCTGGCAAGGGATTAATCTAATCAGACTGCTGACATGAAATGGATTAAAAAAATATTATCCATTCATATGTATGAGACTATTGAAATCACAGGTGGTTGAGGAAATGAAGGTAGCCAGTGTGGTTTAAGGCAGTCACTGTGGTGTGGTGGTTGGGGTGGCTCTATAAGGCTAGAGTTCAAACCCCTGCACACCCACGGGAACTCTGGGTAACCTTGGGTGAGTCACGCTCTCTCAACCTCAGCCAAGGGCATTTGACTACAAGTGCATCTACACTGTAGAATGAATGGAGTTTGGGACTACAGCAAGTGAGGTGGGATCTTCTGAACAGGGACACAGGCAGCAAAACCAACACCACAGGGGCATGAACCCTTCCCTATGGATCCAAAGCTAGAAAATACATCTACAGTATTTGGCTGGAGTTTGTTGTTGTTTATTTGTTCAGTCACTTCCGACTCTTCGTGACTTCATAGACCAGCCTATGCCGGAGCTCCCTGCCGGCCGTCACCACCCCCAAGAGAATTCCCATGACTTTGCGCCTAAGAATAGCTCAGCGTCTTGCCCAGCTGAAGAAATTAATGAGCCAGTGGATAGAAGGCATGTTTTTAGTCAGCACAGGCACACAAACCCAATCTCTTAGGCGTTCTGCCAGGCTGAGAGAGATTGATAACAGAGTCAAGGCTGAAACGAAATCCGTTCCTGGCCGCTTGGGACAATGAGTAGATTAGGGGATAAAGGTGCCAAGTACAGATTCTGTAGTGCAGACAAAGCATAGTTGAAACTGAGTCAAGACCTATTTTCTGGTCCTTGGAAGCCTTGCCTTGGATAGATTCATGTGTTAAATGCCTTTTTTATTCATGATTCAAGTTTTGGAGTTTTACCTTGGAAGTTTCTGTATCTGGGCTGTTGTAGGTTTTTTCAGGCTATATGGCCATGTTCTAGAGGCATTCTCTCCTGACGTTTCGCCTGCATCTATGGCAAGCATCCTCAGAGCACAGCACAATATTAGTATTATGTATATACATATAAGATTTATTACGGTCAATGACCAGCATCAAAAAATGTACAAACATCAGGATAGGCATATGTACATTTGGGTATTAAGAAACAAGTATTATGTATTACTATATTGTACTATACCACTATACTGTTATATTATTAGTAATATTACATGTAATTTAAAAATATAATTCTTATATTATTATTATATTGTATTACATTATAATATTATTATCAATATTATATGTGTATAAAAGGTAAAGGTTGTCCCCTGACATTAAGTCCAGTCATGTCTGACTCAGGGGTGTGGTGCTCATCTCTATTTCTAAGCCGAAGAGCTGGCGTTGTCCATAGACACCTCCAAGTTCATGTGGCCGGCATGACTGCATGGAGCGCCATTATGTGTATACAATATATGTGTATACAATATATGTGTATACAATATATTATATTATTACCGCAGCACATAACTAATAAATTAATACTATAATATATTATATTAAGATATTAAAAAGTGCAACAGCTTTTTGCAACCTTGCTTTTGGCTTTCAGTCTGCTGAGGCGCTGTTCTGACTTGCATACAAATTCAACTGAAGAACAAACCTCCAGACTGTAACTTGGGGGACTGCCTGTATAGATGGGGACACAGAAGGTGTGATACTCATTCCTGCAATAGAAGCTCAGGAGCAGGAGGAGCCGCAGCCGTGCCGTTCCACAGCCAGCCACTAGGGGCGCGCTCCCATAGCTTCGCGGGAGGTGGCGAGGGGGGCGGGGCCGTGGGGGGCGGGGCCAGAGCCCAGCTTGGCTCCCTCCTCCCTGCGCAGAGCATGGCTTGGCTGGCGGGGCTTCTGCGGCGGATTGGGGCTTTGCTCGCCGTCTTGCTCGCCTCGTCCTACCGGGCCCTCGCCGTTGCCGCCTCCCAGGCCCGGGCCGCGCCGCGCCTGCTCCAGCTGCCCATGGCTTTGGCCGGCCCACTGCTGTTCCGCGTCGGGTGAGAGCCCAGGGGTCGTCGTCTGCGGAGGCGGCTCCTTCCCTGCATCATCATTATTATTATACCCTGCATTGGGTCTTCCTTCCTTCCTGCAGGGTCTCCTCCAACTCTGGGATCCCACGAATGGATGCTCTAGTCTAGTGGGAGGAAAAGCGTGGAGAAAAGGCTGGCCAGGGTGATTGATTTGTGGCGACCCCCATCCCTTGTCTACGAGAAGGGATGAGGGGGTTGTCACATAGGTCCGGCCACGGTTTGTAGTGTTGATGCAGCCGGGCCCCCGTATCCGCGGGTTTGGCCTCCATGACTTGAGAGCATTCCAATATCTCAGCAAACCTTGATTATTATTATTATTTGCCATTTTAGGGAGCATCTACGCTGTGTAATGAATGCAGCCTGACACCACTTTCAACTGGCTTGCGTTCATGGGAGTTGTAGTTCTGCAAGGTTTTCTCGGCCAACTCCCAGGATTCCAGAGCATTGAGTTTGGTTGCATTAATCCCACAGTGTAGATCAGGCATGGGCAAACTTTGGCCTTCCTTCCAGGTATTTTGGACTACAACTCCCACCATTCCTAACAGCTTAAGCAGCTGAGGGGGGAAAGGAAAGGGCCCGAGGCTGTTAGGAATGGTGGGAGTTGTAGTCCAAAACACCTGGAGAGCCTAAGATTGCCCAGACCTGGCGTAGAAGTACCCCACGGCATCTCAGTATGTGTGCATGCTGTATATTTACTCTTAATGTGGGGCTCTTGTATATCTTGGTATCCAGATGACTGTGATTCTTTTCTAGTAGATGGAAACATTAGCAGAAAGTGGGTTGTTGTAGGTTTTTCGGGGTATGCCCATGTTCTAGAAGCATTCTCTCCTGACGTTTCGCCTGCATCTATGGCAAGCATCCTCAGAGGTTGTGAGGTCTCACAGCTTCTGAGGATGCTTTCCATAGATGCAGGCAAAATGTCAGGAGAGAATTCTTGCTATAGATGCAGGCGAAACGTCAGGAGAGAATGCTTCTAGAACATGGCCATACAGCCCGAAAAACCTACGACAACCCAGTGATTCCAGCCATGAAAGCCTTCGACAAAACATGAAAGCCTTCGACAAAACTCATCAGAAAGGCTGAGAAATGGTTATCAGAAAGAGAAGTAATGTTGGTGTAGATTAGAAGCAAACCCATTCAAGTATGTGTCAATGTGTGAAGTGTGCTGCCCTGATCCCTTGGCCCAGAATCCAGTTGTTGGTCTCAACTAAAACAGCGAGATTTACAAAAGTTGTGCTTATCCATTCAGAAATTGATATAAGGAGGATCCTCGAGCTGGGACCAGCCACTGGATCTAGATCTTGATATTAAGCGGCACTGTACAATATTTACAAGACATTTACACAGTTTGGCTCCGAGCACATTTAAGCAACCTATTGCTGTGTTGTGTTAACACTTTTCACAACCAATTGCTGTGTTGTCCCAGCTGCTGCTGCTGTATTTCCCTGGAAGAGTCAGCTGCTGGCAACATCTGACGTACATGTGTGGGCTGTCTAGAAAACTCTTCATTGTTCCCTTTGAATAAGTCAAACACATTGCAGTTCTCTACAGAGTTTGATAAATATGCATTTTGGAGTTGTTGGGTTTTTTTGGGAGGGGGTCCTCATTTGGTATTTGAAATAGATGTTTCCAGGAAGAGCAGGAAAAGACTGTTGTTTGAGACCATTACCACAAAGAACACAGAACTAGGTGGACCTGAGCAGAGCTCAGAAAAGTTACTTATTTTGGCCCACAGCGTCCAGCATTTCCCAGTCAACGTGGCCTTGGCCAGTGGTCATGCTATCTGGGAGTTTCTGGGAGTTGTCACTTAAAAAGTAACCTTTTTCTTTATGATTAAGACCCTTTGCTGTCTTAATAATAATAATCTATTTATTTATTTACCCTATTTATACCCCGCCTTTCTTTAAGGGGGACCCAAGGCGGCTTACATATGGCAATTATTCAATGCCTTAAACACATAAAAAACATTAAGTATGAAATCCATTTAATTAAAATTAATGTATATAAGTTTTTTAAAAATTACATTGAATACTAGTCGTCCCCTGCCACGCGTTGCTGGGCCCAGTCTGGGTATATGTGTTTTGTGTGTGTTTATGTGTGTGTGTATATTTGTGTATATGTGTTTGCGTATTTATATGTGGTTTCGCGCATGCGTTGTAATGTAATTTTTGTTTTTTGACTTTTAAGTATCTTCTGTTGCATTTTTCAGTGTTTTTATGAGTGATGGTCACTCATTAGCCTGATAGGTGTATCGTGTCAATTCGCCCAGTGGTTTTTGAGTTATGTTAATCCCACAAACAAACATTGCATTTTTATTTATATAGATTTACCCTATTTATACCCTGCCTTTCTTTACTCCAAGGAGGACTCAAAGCGGCTTACATATGGCAATTATTCAATGCCTTAAACACATAATAAACGTTAAGCTTAAAAGCTATTGAATTAAAATTAATACATATTAAAAAAATTAAAATTACATTATATTAACATCACGCCATCCAAAAAATGTAGTCTGAGGCCATTCGGTAGTCATCGCACATATTCCAATCATATTATATTATTGCACTACTTCTCCAAAGGCTTGGTCCCAGAGCCTGGTTTTTACTCTCCTTCTGAAGGCTAGGAGGGAGGGGGCTGATTTAATGTCACTGGGAAGGGAGTTCCACAGCTGAGGGGCCACCACTGAGAAGGACCTGTCTCTCATCCCCACCAGACATGCTTGTGAAGAAGGTGGGATCGAGAGCAAGGCCTCCGCAGAAGATCTCTGAGGTGGTTCATAGGGGAAGATACATTCAGACAGGTAAATTTCATAATAATAATAATAATAATAATAATAATAATAACAACTTTAGTTGTACCCCACCACCATCTCCCAAAAAGGACTCAGTGTAAGTTCAAGCCCAAGTTTTCCATCCTGTATGTGCTGTTTTAAATAAGTAAGAAATAACGAACAACCCCATATCCTCAGAATTGATATATGTACTTCCACTTATCCATGGTTTCATTTATTCACTTAGATGCTATTGTACAAGTTACACCTTCTTCTCAATTCGTCCCATTGAAAATAACCATTTTTGTTCACTGTTATCAGCATTTTCTTGTATCCACATAAAGTTTGGGAACTTATCCCCTGTGAATATGGGGATTGGGTTGCTGTGAGTTTTCTGGGCTGAATGGCCATGTTCCAAAGCATTCTCTCCTGACATTTTGCCCACATCTATGGCAGGCATCCTCAGAGGTTGTGAGGTCTGTTGGAAACTGGGCAAGGGAGGTTTATATATCTGTGGAAAGTCCCGGGTGGGAGAAAGAACTTCTGTCTGTTTGAGGTCGGTGTGAATGTTGCAATTGGCCACCTTGACTAGCATTGAATGGCTTTGCAGCTTCAAAGCCTGCAAGCTTCCTGCTTCTGAGCAACACTCAGAAGAGAGGGGAATTCCAGACAAGAAACAATCAGGGCCAGTTAACACCTCCCAGCAAAGGATTCCTCCAGGCAGGAATCAGCCAGGCTTTGAAGCTGCAAGACCTTTCAATGCTAATCAAGGTGGCCAGTTGCAACATTCGCACTTGCCTCCAGCAGACAAGAGTACTTTCTCCCACTCTGGACATTCCACAGATATGTAAACCCCACTTACCTAGTTTCCAACAGACCTTGCAACCTCTGAGAATGCCTGCCATAGATGTGGGTGAATGTTGCAATTGGCCACCTTGATTAGCATTGAATGGCCTTGCAGCTTCAAAGCTTGCCTGCATCCTGCCTAGAGTAATCCTTTGTTGGGAAGTGTTAGCTGGCCCTGATTGTTTCAAACAGACATCACAACCTCTGAAGATGTCTGCCATAGATGTGGGCGAAACGTCAGAAGAGAATGCTTCTAGAACATGGCTATACAGCCCGGAAAACTCACTGCAACCCAGTGATTCTGGCTATGAAAGCGTTTGACAACAATACGGGGATTGTTTTATCAACTTTTTGTGTGAAATTCTGGCTGTGTAGAATACATATTTGTTAAATGGGTTTGGAGAAGGGTGAGAAAATATACTCTTTTCATGGTCTGTATACAGAGAGATAGATGATTAGAAAGCACAGTTCTAACCAAAGTATTGTTCCTGTTGAAAAGGAAAGCACAGCAGCAGAGGGAAAGGCTCTTACTAGGCAGGAAGAGAAGTCTATGATCTGGAGAGGAGGGTTACAAAACGAACCACATGGGAAATGGCTGTGGTAATGTAAGGAAAAGGATGCTTCCTTTTTCTAATAATAGGCCTTCATGCTTTCCTTTGCTCCTCTATGCCTCTTTTGTATTTTTTACATAGTGTTTCTTTAAAAGACTCTCACATCAGGAAGATGATAGTTTGAACTATTCCCATTCAAGCTTTGACATTGTAATCCAGGAGCCCACCCTGGTGCAATGGGTTAAACCCACGTGCTGGCAGGACTGTTGATTGAAAGGTGAGCGGTTCGAATCCGGGAAAGCGTGGTGAGCTCCCATCTGTCAGCTCCAGCTTCTCATACAGGGACATGAGAGAAGCCTCCTACAGGATGGTAAAACATCCAGGCGCCCCCTGGTCAATGTCTTTGCAGACAGCCAATTCTCACACCAGAAGCGACTTGTAGTTATTCAAGTCGCTCCTAACACAAAATAAATAAATAAATTTGATCCAGAGTTGAGCAAATTGTGATCTCAGATAGTATTGAATCACAACTCCCTCTCACACCAGAAGCGACTTGTAGTTATTCAAGTCGCTCCTAACACAAAATAAATAAATAAATAAATAAATAAATTTGATCCAGAGTTGAGCAAATTGTGATCTCAAAAAGTATTGAATCACAGCTCCCATCATACACCACCATTAGCTATGAAGGGCAGAGTTAATTGTCATTGCAGTCCAATAACCTCTGAAAGGCCAACTCCTTCTAAGTAACCAGGAAAGTGAATACCACCATGGGCTGTCTTGAGGCTGAAGAAATCTTT